GGGGAATGATCTGGGAGGAATATGGTCTGGTAGTTTTTCAACAGAAATGTAAAGATAGAGAGAGAAGTGCTGCATCTGTTAGATTAAACAGAGTACTGGCCTGAACAGTGATCTGCTGGCTCTAGTGGAGGGACAGCCTTGCAGGTCCTGTGCTTAGAAGTGATGCTGTGATAGCTGAGGAGATACCTGCATAAAGGGTGACAAACACCCTTTAGAAAAGAACAGTGTCAAGACTCAAAAGTCCTGTTTATGGGAAAAAGGAAGCATACATTACATAGAGACAGCCAAGAGTTTATTCCTAGTATAATTGAACCCTTAGCAAACTAGTCTTTTTAGGAAAGATCTAATTGTTACAGAAAAAGAAAGATGCCCTGTTGGTTATGACTGACACCACTTTCGTCCAGCATCAGGTCCACATTTCTTTTACTGGTTGTTTGCGGTGTGGGGCCACCACTGCCCGTCTGTGCTCCATCTCTTGTCGTCTGATGCCTGTTCTCCTTCATGTCATGCGCTGTGCCTATACTTCTCAAGGCCTCTTACCATAGCAGGCCTGTAATTCTTAATACTACCTCATTATGTTAGGGCTGTAAAACCCATGATGGTAGCATAAAAAGATAAAGAAGCATCAAATAAAAATGAGCCATGGTTACCTGGACAGTTAGAAAAATTGTTGTTACAGCTAAACCAAGTGAAAACGAGGCTGCAGGTAGGCCAAGAAGAGCTTGGACAGAGCGAGCATCACAAGCTGCGTTCCCAAGACCTTGCAAACTCAGTACAAAGCCTGTGGCACGTCGCTTGCCACAGCAGTACTGTGTTACAGGGCTGCAGGGAAACAACAGGAGCAGACCGCTCTGTCCATGAAAGCAGATGGTTTTCCAGCAGGTCATGACATGAAACAGCTATGTGAAGGGCTTACTCCAAAGCTGACAAAAATCAGTGGGTTGCGGGTCAGGAAAGCAAACCCAAGAGCAGCTCTGCAATAGGGTGGTCATTATGAACACAGAGGGGAGGATTTATGTGCAACCCAGCCTGTCCCTGCTCACATTTCTTGCTGACATAGGGGGAGAGCTGGTTCTCCACAGAGCTCCTGTGCATGGTGTGCCTCTCAGTGTGTCACCTGCAGTGTGAGTAGGTATGTCACTGGAGTGAGACAGGTGAGTAGGTATGTCACTGGAGGTGCAGGGTTGGGATGGGTAAATTAATGTGAAATCCATGTTCAGCAACTATCTACCTTCACACCTGCAGTACAAGGAATGGGTTAGGCTTGTCTGCATTTTCAGTTGAAAGATAACATTTTCCAAAATCAAGTCCAGAATCTCCTTCATATGTCATAATTTTTCACCTTCCCTGACTATGTTCATTAATGTGCCTACCATCTCCCTGGCTTGCTTTGTTTTAAAAGCACTACTCTATATACTGCTCTTCTTCCTGTGCAAACAGTCTTGCCTCCTGGGTCCAACTGGTTGCTGCTTCCATGTTTTTCAGCTCCACCCTGATACTTTAATCACTGGAGTGGTGTTCTGCTGCCTGGTTTGCTATCTTACTTCCTCTCAGCTCTTACGATCTGCTTTTGTAGAGGATCTGCAGACTCTTGCACCATGAACTGACTTTACAGTTTCTCGGCTGTCTCTGTCCAGAGGGGTTGGGTGCTTCCTTCCATTGCAGCACATTTCCTTCTCCTGCAGTGGCTCTTTTGAAGTACCCCTTTTGTCTGTCCAGCTTGTGCACAGGGAGCTGAGCACCCTGGGCCCGTCTGTGTGCTTTGTGGCTTCATCCATACCCCTTGGTTGTCCTTCCTGCCTCTGCTGAGCATAGTGCCCTGCTCTGCCTCGTCTGCTTGGGTGGCTGCACTGAAATCCTCTGGAGTGCTGGCAGGTGGCAGTGCTGCGAGCATCCCTTGGGATTTTGCCTTTCTCTCACACGGTTTTCAGAAGCAGCGCACATCTGCTCTGAGCCTCTGGCCACTCTGTCCTTTGCTCTCAACATAGGGCAGTGGGGCAACAAGGGTGGAGCAGTGCTGGGCTTGAGGTCAGAATTGCATTTGGCTCTTTTAACCTTATGTGATGGAGGGACTGCAATGCCAAGCTTTGCAGCAGTAGTAGGTGGAGAGAGTAATGGCCATGGCTTCCCTCTATTCAGTTCAGTTAGGTTTGTCCCACCCAATTCAGTGGAGCAGCGGCCCTGCAGGGTGCTCGTTTCACCCCAAAACGTGTTTAGGTTAAGTACTGGAAATGTGTAACCTGCTGGCATGTACTAATTGCCTACCTGTTAGATAGCAAAACATATGTGAAAGGGTGAGGGAGCCAAAGGAAGGATTCCTGACACAGCATTTTTGCCAACTCTATTTCTTGAACTGGAAGGGAACCCTGAGTTGCTGTTACAGGAGCCAGAAGACACACCTGATGCTCAGGGATTTGTGGATTTCTTTGCTGAAGCTTTGGCTTCATCTTCTCTTTGTCTTTATGTCTGTTCTCCCATGTGCTGCACAGCCAGGGGACCTCCAAGGCCTTCCTATCTTGGCCTTCTTTCAAGGCACAAAGGAAAAGGTAAAGATCTGGGGTGAAGACTTGGTCTTTATTGTCTATCAGCTTGCTCATGCACTCTTATTAAGCAAATGTTAAATTGGGGTTAATCATAAAAAAACAATAAGACCTTCTGCCATCACAGTCATCGAGTCCTGAATAAACAAGCAAACCATGGAGTTGCTTAGGAGTGGCCTAGCCAGAGCTCTTCTGACATTTTTGTTCAGGAGAAAGCTCTGAAAGCACTTTGGTGTTTTCCATTGCAGATAAGTGGATTTTGTTTTGCTTTCTCACAGCTGCCTCTGTGGGCCTTGTTTCATTTCCTGTGTTCTGCATTTGAGCAGCTTAGTTTTGTTTTGGCGCTTTATTATTAATCCACACTGAGATTTTTCTTAGTTTCAGATGAATTCTGGACCAGAGAATGTGATGTTTCAGGACAAGGCACAAAAAGAAATATTGGTTGGGAATTCATTACTGCATGGAGTCACTCAGTTCATTAACAGTAAAAGTAAGCAAAATAATACATCCAACAGACTGCGCACTTATGTAGATAGCAGGAACGTGCATGGTCATGAAGCACTTTGGAAGAGGTATTGAATATTGTGCTTTAGAGTTTAGGCTGATCTCTAGCTGTAAGGGATTAGGAAGAAATTCAGTCTGGAGTAAAGCCACTCCCTATCTGCTTTCTGCAGGGTTGCCGTCTCTCTGTGGTGGCAGCCCCTGCCAACTATGGAAGAGCAGGCACTGAGCATGTCTGGCCACCTTTCTGAGTTCCTGTGCTTTGGGAGTGGTCTATTTACTTCATGCTACAGGAACAGTCTTAAATAACAAAAAAAAAGTGCTGTGGCTGGGATTCAAGGCTCACTTTCCTTATCTTCCAAAAGGTGGCAGGAAAGTGGTGTCCAGTCAGCCATTCCTGTATGTCTTCATACTTTCTCTACAGCTGTGTTGCTTCACTGCCCTCACAGTGCAGATGGAGTTTTATCCTAAAGAAGTAAGATGCCAAGTTATTCTCAGCCTGTGGTTTTGTTATGACATTTCCAAAATGGAGCACTTGGGCTTTGCCTATTTCCAACTTGCATTGGTTTAAAAAAAGAAACAAAACAATTTTTGATGGACCAAAACCAGTGTTTCATTTTATTTTCAGCTTAGCCACCAGCTGAAAACTGGTTTTGTTTGTTCACAGTTATGGCCAGTTCTGGGAGATAAGGCTACATGGGTAGGTTCATGCGTTACAGCTTACTATGGAATGCAGACCCCATAGGAATTTCCCCAAGGAAATTTCATTTGCTTGTTAACAGTTTCTGGAGTCTGTGGTGGCATAGCTTACAGACCCCGAAGGATTCACAGGTGACAGGTCGAAGATGAGTGTGCTAGGGAGCAAAAGAAACCTATTCTCTGGGCCTCAATAGCAAGTTCCTGAACCCAGAGGACAAGTTTAATTCCTTGTGGACTCTGTGAGTCTTCTCTTCTGAGCTGATGACTGACACCAGTAAGGGGTGCTTTACTGCCCCTCGTGAGGGTCACCTCATTCCTTGGTGTAAGACCACTCCTCACCTGCCAGTTTTCTGTCTTCTACTGCAGACAGGCAGAGCTATTCAGTTCATGACTGCAACCATGTTTTCTCCCACGCAGGCATCAGAATAAGTGTACATGCAGGTCCTTGCCCACAAACTGGTTTTTTTGTTCCTTTGAGAAACGTTTCTGCTATTAAATCAGCATGTTGCAGCAGCAAGCCCTGTGAAAAGAGCCTTTGTGCCTGTTCTCGGTGTTCCCTAGTTGTTCTATGCAAGAGTGGCTGAGGTTTTACTCAGAGCAGTGTCTCTGTTCTGTGAGGCCGTTGTGCTCTGTGGTATGGCAGGGTGAAGTGACAACAGGAATTTGGGCTGTGGGTGATCCAGCTCTGATGAGAGTCATGTAAAATCTGCCACTCACACAAGTGTCTCAGGACTTCTTCTTTTCTTCCTTACACATGCAAATGCATTGTTATCCTTGCAATTTAAAGAGAAGTTACTAGTTGTGAAGCACTTCCAGAAGTTCTCTCCCAGTGCTGGGAGTCTTTGGACAACACTGCCATTTTATCTTGTGTTTATTGCACATGTGTTCCCAGCAGTTTATATGTCTTAGCCTCACAGGTGAAAAAAGGCATCAAGGATGGCTAAAATGGACACCGACTTCTGGAGGCGGCAGGACAGCCACTGGCTTGCTGGTTCCTCTCTCCACACCAGAACCCAGCAGCTCTGGGCAGCACCTGCAGCTCTCACTTGCTTGTCCTTCTGCAGCAACTGTGTCTCTCTCTGCCCCCTTTTCTCTCCCCAATGGCAAGAGCAGCCTGGCTCTCACCACACCCCAAGCTACCCTTCTTTAAGATGCAAAAGCTGGCATGTCCTGTACTGTTGAGGTGACAGGGTACAGAGGTGATTGCGATGTCTGGCTTGGTTCAAGTTCATCCTTTCTTTGCTCCCCCCTGTAAAACAGGTTGCATGGTCCCATGACAATGTTGCTTCTCTACCACAGGGAACTTCTGGATCTGACTTGCCGTCTTGCCAACACCCTGAAGAAATATGGGATACAGAAGGGGGACAGAGTGGCCATCTATATGTCTGTGTCTCCCTTGTCTGTGGCAGCCATGCTGGCTTGTGCCAGGATTGGTGCTGTTCACACTGTGGTCTTCGCTGGATTCAGCGCAGAGTCCTTAGCTGGGAGGATCATGGACTGTAAGTAGATGTAAACCAGGAAACAAATTGCTCAGGACAGTGCTCCAAGACATATCCCAGTTCTGTGTTTTCTTGGCAGAAAGAGAAATGGTTCATTTCAGCTGGTGGGACAGTTTGCACTCCTTTGGAAAGTACTGTGAAGAGCCTTTTCCTTAGTGGTAGATGCAGTATCCTCTGACCTTAAAATGCTTTATAAATTGCTTAACATTCAGTCTGTGCTGGGTTGCTGCCAGGCAGCAGTGAAGCTGGAGGGAAAACCAGAGCTTAGGAATGGGTCCTGATTTGTTCTTGCACAGTATAATTGCAGTGTTCCTTTGGTATTCCTGCACAGTGCTAATTCTGCAGTCTTGATTGTAATACTGTGATTTATGTATAGCACTGGAAGTGTTGGCAGCCTGCCCCCAGTCTGTTAGCTGTTGTATCAATAGACAGAGCTGTTTGTAGCCCAAAGCACTTGTAGTGTGATTAGGTAAAAAGTAATACTAAAAATACCAGCAGAAGAACAAGATAGCAAGTGGCTCATGTCCTAGCAGTCATATCTGTTTCTTTAGGACTAGTGTGAGGGAATACGTCTTACAGCAATTTTCATGCTTTTTTTCTGGTTTAGTAGAGTTAATCTATAGAGAGCAAGTACATGTTTTAGTTATCACTCACTTTTGGCCATTTGAGTGGAGGTCATGAGCTAAAGAGCCATTTCTCTGCAGCCACATCTCTGTAATAATAGTGTGGTACAGTTTGAAGTGCTCTGCCGGAGCGCTGCTGTGTGCTGTGGCTTCCAAGAGATTTCTCTCAAGGTATGGGTAAGTCTTCCCTCAAGGTACGTGCAGCCGCAGAGAGAGGATGAGAGAGGGGCAAAAGTGCTTATTCACTAAGGTTGTAAGAAGTCTTGCACTGGTTTGAGTGTGTGAGCTGTTAGACTAAAGCAGCAATATGCACTATAACACAGGTAACTGGGAAGAAACTGTTCTTTATGTCAGCTTTGATAGGCAGTAATGGAGACATTTAAAGTGCAGTGAGTGATACTTAGACTAGATATTGGGAAAGAAGTTTTTCATGTTTGTGATAGGCACTGGAGTGTACTGGTAGGGAGAGGGTAGGATAGCTGCCATTGGGGTGTTTTAGGAAGATTGGACTGACAGCTGACAGAAATAGTTTAGCTGGAGTGGACCCTGCCTTGGGGTGGGGGAGATGGACTAGATAACCTATGGAGGTTCTAGCTACCACCAAGCTCTGTGGATATCAAGTTTTAAAGTGGTTTTTGTCTGTAACACTGACAGTTTTTGATGATACAAGTTCTGAGTATTTGTCACACATGTTGTCCTATACATCATCCCCAAAAGTAATGAGAGTAGGGTGCATATACTAGCCTGGAAGACTGTTTGGTATGTCTGCTAATTTGTTCTCTTTTTAGCTGGATGCAAAGCAGTTATCACCTACAACCAGGGAGTCAGGGGAGGCCGAACCACAGAGCTGAAGACAACTGTGGATGAAGCTGTGAAAAACTGTCCAAGCATCAAACATGTCTTTGTGGCTCAGAGGACAGATAACAAAGTCCAGATGTGTGACCATGATATTCCCCTTGAGAAGGTATGTTGGTGTTGGTAAACCTTGCATGTTTCCCCTGATGTTTCTTGAAGTATGTGATGTTTACTGTGCTGGGGGAGAGAAACATCGTGCCTTAATAAATGTAGGGACCAGCTAGCAGAGACACCTTTGTTCAGAACACATGTGTCAGAGTCTCACTGAATGTGTAGATGATGCACTCTGGTATTTGGCTTTGGTCTTTGATCTGCTACTGTAGACTGCAATGGGCATCAGCAGCCAGGGAAGACCAGGCAGTCTCCATACTTTTCTTGCGTATGTGTGCTGTGCTAAAAGCCTATGAAGCAGGTGCTACACTGCAGCTTGGCACTCTAGTGTAGCACCAGACCTGCTAGTGATGGCTGACCTTTATACTGCCTCTGGAGCAGGTTTTCAGTGTGTGCTGCTCTTCCTGTGCTGCCCCAGTACCCTGGTGGGCTACTGGATACAGCTGCATTGCAGTGAGAGCATCTGTATGTCCCTGCAGTCACCTAGTTCTGCAGATGCCCACTGGCACTCTGGATAACTCCTTTTAAATCTGAGAGTTGGCTAGATCATCTATCTCTCCATCTGTGCCTTTTGGACCTGAGTTCTGCAGATGAAAAGGAGATGCCCCTTACGGCCTTGATCTTCATCCTCAGATGGATTGCATTTACAGTCAGCTAGGATTGGGAGTTGAAGCAGCTCAATATATGCTTGATTCATCTCAGCATGGGCAAGTGGGATGCTGCCATTTTAGTAGTCTTGCAAATAGTGCTGAGCTTTAAGGAATGTTTCCTGAGACCTGGAGTGCACTGTTACCATTGCTGCTGTTGTTATACTGTGTTCAGACACTCTGTTATGGTTTGTCATATGCACTCTCAAACTGGACATTGTTGAAAGGCAATGCAGAAATAATCAAGTTCCTGGAGAGGACAGTATCATGGTTACCCCATAATAGGAGGACAGCTGAGGCACGGAATCAAACTCTACAACTCACTAAGAGTTATAAAGTAGTACGTTTATTACGATGTCGGGCACACGGGGGATCACTCTGCCACAAACGTGCGCACCAGGAGCCAAAAAAACAGCTCCTTTTATTGTTTGAAATGTTACATATGCATTAGGATTCCGAAGATAAGGAGGGAATATTACAATTAGTTTCGAGAAATTCCCCTCTTCCCCCCCCACCCCCGCCCATCTTCTTCTTTGCGCCTGCACAGTGTGTCCTGCTGAGGGTGGGCCGGGGTCTTCAAGGGTCTTCAGGATGAAGTAAGTCCTTCCTCTTCATGAACTCTTCAACTTTGTTTCCTGTGCATACTCTCTGGACCTTTGGCTCCTCTCCAGGTTGTAGAGTCAGTTTTACCTGTTTGTTTGGTTAATTGGAACTTTTGTGTCTATCAGGATGTTCCAGGAAGTAAATCCTTGGTGTTATCAGGAATTGGTCATCCTTTAGCTGGTACGGTTCCCCCTTTATCTCAAAGACAGGGATTAGTTTACTATCTATCCTGTTTTCTGTAAGAATATCTAGCTAACATTGCCTGAGGGATAGCATTGTTTAAGGGGCCCCACAACTTCGTCGATTATTTTTTTTTAATTGTTTTTTTAGCTTTCCTCAGATCACAGTTATGACTTGGGAATATTTAGAATCTGTGCTTCCCGGGGGAGAAAACAGCAGTTGTTTTATATGTTTAGCTGGTATACAGGGGACTGCAGCCGGATGCAGCCTGATGCAGCAGCAGTTTGCTGGCAGCAGTAAATAGAAACTGTTCATCGTAATAATGCCTGGAAATCACCTAACTGCAGCCAAGATAGTTACTCAGGAGTCCCTGTGCTGGTCACATGAGATAGGAGCAACTACTAGGGTAGATTAAACAGAGAAGGCAGGTTTTAGTTAGAAGTTGTGTTACTCCTCCTTACTCCACAAAGCACATTCTGATGAGTTTCCTTAGTCTGCAAACAGCCTGAGGCACTTTGGTGATCTAAGAGCTGAGGTCAGCCCATTGTCAGTTAGTTGTAGGATCTGAAACAATAACAAGAATTAAACCATTAATGCTGTTAACTGTGTCATTACTGATCTTTACAGTAGTTGAGCTTTCTAGCTGTCCTGCAAGGGATTGTTGCAAAATTTAAATTCATGTTATGATCGAGCATATGAGAAACTCCATCTCGGTGTCTAGAACTTTCAAGTCAGCCTGAATTGGCAGTGCTAAAATGTTACAATAAATACCCAAGATGTGTGGAATGGCTGGAAAACAACAGACATATTATGAGCGATCCAGACCGAGTGGCCTCACTGTAACAACAGGCTGTAGCTGTTGTGAAGATCACCTGCATGGCCAAGGGGCTGAGAAACTGCGTGTGTAGCAAAAAGATAAGGAAGCTGGACTGTTGAAAACAAGATGTTTGCCTAGCAGGAGAGTGGTGTGTGGACACCACAGCAGGACCAATCACAGAGGGCAAAGGGCGTGTAGACAAGTAGCTTTAGCCTATTAGCAATCAAGTAGCTGCGCATGTGCTTTATGGTAGTCTATAAATTGCTGTATATCCTTTAATAAAGTGGCATTAACTTGATCACATTGATCGTATAAGTTGTGTCCGGGACTTCCACATCAGTAAAGATGATCAGAAGTGCTGTAACTCAGAGGATAAGAATTACACCTGACTCTATCAGCTCTTCATGTTTTATTAAGCTTGTTTGTCAGACACTTTTAAACAACTGGACCTGCCATTGGTAGTGTTCACTTGTAAATACAGCATGTTTACAGTGTATACTTTTAAAAAAGTACCTAGAAATTCCAAAGAGCTGCCTAATAACCCTTACAGGAATCATTATTCATGTAGGATAGTACAGAGCTTGAAAGAAGCAAGCCAGCTGTGCTTTTTTTTTTTTACAGCCATATGTTGCACATCTGGAACAGTGATTACTGCAATTTTGTACATGGATAAGAAAAATGTTTAACCTCATCCTGAAAAATCTACGGTCTGGGCAAACAAGCCCTCTGCTGCTGCAAGGTTCGGTGACCACAAGCGTCTCTTTCAAAGCACATTATTTCCCCTTCCTCTGCTGGACTGGGCACACAACCTGGAGCAAAAGTTTGCTCTCACCTAGTAGGACATTGCATCCTTCCCTCCTGTGGTTCTGACTGTAGGGATGAGGAGCAGATCTCGCCTACCTGGCCAAACAGTGGAGTACGAGGAGAGTGATAGAGGCAGGAGAGTAAAGCACTCTCCTTCTCATAGGTAGAAGAAATTAGAATTTAGGATCAAATGGACAGGACAGTCATCCACTACTGGGGCCAGAGAAGGGAGATGAATGCACAATTTAACTGTAGTTAGTTTTCAAAGGAAAAGGAAGGTCCTAAACAGTATCCAGTCAGCCTTGCTACTGCTATCAAGTTTGGTGGTTCATGTTTGCAGTCACACTTTGGTTTTCTACTGGCAGCTTGCAAAGGCTTGAAAGGTAAACTATGACCTACCATTTTTTCCCTGAAATGTTATTTTCACTGGCCAATTCCCCTTGACTTCTGCACCTAGCAGAGATATTGGTGGAAAGGCCAGGTGCTATGCATCCCCAGGAACATTTTCCACTAGGTGAGAACATATGACCTATCCATGGATGTTTGTGAGGGGGCAAGAGCAACGGTAGTTCTTGGCTCTGGACACTGCTTACATGCTGTACTGGGTCTGGCTGAGCTGGAATTGTTTTTCCCCTATAGCAGCCCCCATGGTGCTACAGTTTGTGTTGGGAGTTGGCAGGGTGTTGGTAGCGCCCTGGTGTTGTGGCTACTGCTGAGCAGTGCTTACACAGCACCAAGGCTCTTTCCGACATTTTTTCCCTCAGTGGGATGGGGTGGGCAAAATTTTGGGAGGGGACACAACCAGGACAGCTGACCCGAACTGACCAAAGGGATATTCCAGACCATATGGCATCTGCTCAGTATAAAGCTGGGAGAAAGGAGGAAAGGGGTGGGTCACCCTTGGTCCTCCGAGGCAACCACTACGTGTATCGGAGCCCTGCTTCTGGAGAAGGCTCGACATTGCCTCTTCATGGCAAGTAGAGAATAAATCTACTATCTTATTTTCTTTTCTTTCCGGTCTATCTTATTTTCTTTCCCCTCTTTGCCCTGTTGAGAAAACAAGGGGAAAGGGGGGGAAGTGATAGAGTGACTTGGTGTATACCTGGCATTTAGCCAAAATCAAACCACCACACATGCTTACCAATGGAGTATTGGTTGGCTTTATATGGCCAAAGTCTTTCTGTTATTACCACCTTTTTTTCCTTAGGAGATGGCCAAGGCAGCTTCTGTATGCCCTCCAGAGATCATGGACAGCGAAGACATGCTTTTCATGCTGTATACCTCGGGCAGCACTGGGAAACCCAAAGGAATTGTTCACACCCAGGCTGGATACCTGCTGTATGCTGCTCTCACGCACAAGGTAATTTCAGGTGCATCCTCTGGAAAAGGTTCATTTACCTTCCAACAGTACTAATGAGAGGGACTTGGGCTGTTGAGGGATGCTATATTCTGTGTTCGCTGCCCAACTGGCTTACTGGGTATGAACAAATTGAGAAATGAGAACGTGTAATCAATCTTCAGGATTTGTTCCTGGAGAATGTAGTATTATGCAAACCGGAGCCTAGAGTTATGAAAGGAAGGAAACTGCAGTGCTGCTGCTTTTGCATTTAAAATGTGCTAGTGTTGCAGGCCAGAATTTGTGGACATGAAAGTGATGCAGCTGAGTTGATTCTAGTAAATATCTTACTGATGTTGGTAATGTGGATATTACTGTAGTATTTTGTAGTGGGATGCTGGCCTGTTTTCAGAGAGGATCGGGACTCCTTTAAACAACCTTTTTGCATAGCACTTGTCTGAAGATTAAAAATTACTTTTGTGATTGGTGGTAGCACTTCTACACTGCTATTTATGTGATCTAGGCTAAATATTTTAAAGCCCTTTCTCATGAAAAAAAAAAAACAAAACCCAAGTCGGGGCACTTTCTTGAAGCTTCATGTCCAAGCTCTGCATATGAAAAGGTAACAGTGAAATGTGGAGAGGACTGTGGCGATCGATCTCTGTCTGGCTTTAGTCATATCACACTGTAATCACACACAATTCAGGAAGAGGTTTTCTTTCTTTAGGCTGACATAGTTGAATTTTTAGAAGATTTGAATGTGCAAGTGTCAGACTTCTCTGCATGAAGGGTATTTGTTACGTCAGCTTTTCTAAGTGACAGCATCATCTCCAAGGCATCTCTTTCTTTCTTAGTCCAGAAGGTAGATCCTGCACCCTGGTGCAGACATGCAGGGAGGCACTGTATGCAGCTGCAGTCCCTTTAGAGGTACTTCAGAGCCTGAGACGAAAGGCACTTGCAAAAGTAAGGTTGGTAATTGGCTCTCCTGGGTAGAGGGATCAGCTGACCTGTGTGGCCTCTGTGGTCTTTGCACGCTCACATGTAACACTCTTGTCACATGCTCATGGAGGGTTTTTTTTGTTCTGATCCACTTGCTTTCACTCAAAACATAAAGCTGACTGTCTTATGAGTCAGGACTGCTTCACCATGCAGTAGAGGAGTTAGATTTACAGTGAGAAGCATTTTCCGTAACCAAGACAAGATAATGACTTCTCCAGGATTTTTATCTTGAATTTGATGAGTAGGGAGAGAGTAGCATATGGAAAGCAGTACACTGATAGAGAAGCTGAGCAGCTAAGAACATTTCTCAGAAATTGTCTCACGAGCACTTACCAGTTTCTCCAGCTTTCTCATGGAAACCCGTAGATATTGGTGAGGGGTCTGAGCCCCTAAGGCCTGCAGCTTCACTGCAGTTCAGGGTCAGCTCTCCCACATGGACTGTCTGGAGTAGGCAACCTTTGGTATCCAGGCTCTGGGCTTTGATTGTAGCTTTGTGGCTCCAATCTGAGCAGCTCCTGGTACAGTCATGCTCCCTGTATGTTTGCAAAAGCAGTCAGGAGCCTGGAAACCCTGGTACTGGTCCCTCTGATTTGATTCCTCACCTTGGGCTGTCCTCTGTGCTGCTGTGTCCTACATGCCTGGCTCCACTTGCCCTGTGCAGTCTCTTGCTCCCACTTGGATGTCCAGTCCAGCACCGTATCTTTGAACTCTTTGCACTTGCCAACAGAAAGTCAGCTGGCCTTACATTTATCTTTGCAGTACGTATTTGACTACCAACAAGGCGATGTTTTTGGCTGTGTGGCTGACATTGGCTGGATCACAGGACATAGCTATGTTGTGTATGGACCACTCTGCAATGGAGCCACCTCTGTCCTGTTTGAAAGCACTCCAGTATACCCTGACCCAGGTGAGGAAGTGGTGGGCAAAGGTTTGGCTAGATATGGCAGTGTGACAAAGGAGACTTAGAAACCTGTCGAGTGTGACCTGTGGGCTCAGGGGTGGTAAGCTCCATTTCTTTGGAACACGTGTCTGTGACATTCAGGAACATCTGTGCATCCAGGGTGAAAAAAAAAAAAAAAAAGTTGCCACTGGTTTTGCTCTGTACTCACAGTAGTCACAGCTTTAGCTTTATCTGTTAACCTTCCTGGTGAGCATTTGCAGTGGTAAGTTGGTTCTAGACAGATAAAAAGCCTGTTTGTGATTTTGCAGGTCGTTACTGGGAAGTGGTACAAAGGTTGAAAATTAATCAGTTTTATGGAGCACCTACAGCTATACGCTTGCTGCTGAATTATGGAGAAGAGTGGGTGAAAAAGTACGACAGATCTTCCTTGAAGACCTTGGGATCAGGTAAGGGTCGTTCACCTGAAAAAGACAAGGGGGTTCTAGCTGGTGAAATGAAGGTACCAGAGGAGCTTGGCTTACCAGATGGGATGTGGTTAAAAACAGATAATAAAGCAGGCTTCCTGTCTGGTTTTTCAGATATTTTCTCAGCAGAAGGAGAAGTAAACTGAAGTTGGGGCTAATGAACCTTAGTGTGCTTGCCCATTTCCTAGCTTATTTTGCAGGATCACATTCTTTGCTAAAAAGATTCGTCCAATGGTAAATGGCATCACTTTGAATTTTGATGGCGTAGGTGACCCAAGCAGCATTTTCCTGCATTGTTTTGGATTCTAGAGTTCTGATACATTACTTGCATTGATTAGTTACTTTCAGTGATATTTATTGCTTGCCTTTTGGTCTTTCTGGAAAAAGTCAGTCCTCAGTTACATGAGTGCCTTGCAGTCCTTTGCACATCTCAGCAAAAATGTTGTAAGCATTCTGCTTAAAGCTCATGCATTCATCGTGTTGTGCACCAAAAGGGAGAACGAACTGCCTGCAACTCCCCGAGTCTCAGGCTGTTTCCTGTTACTTTGGTCTAGTGGGAGAGCCCATCAACAACGAAGCGTGGCAATGGTTCTACCATGTGGTGGGAGAAGGGCGCTGCACCCTTGTGGACACATGGTGGCAGACAGGTAAAAGGGGTCCTCGGGGATCATGGGGGGCCCTGACCACCCCGCAGGGTGCTGGTGGGTAGAGAAAGATTAATACATTTCAATTTGATTCAAAAAGTCTGTCAAAAAACCCTCATGGTGTTTTGATCAGCTTTTGAAAGTCACTGGGGAGTTTCAGTACATAATAGCAATGTAACATCATATGAAAGCAATAGCAATGTTGTTTTTTTCTTTTCCCCTCTAAATGTTCTTTGATATTTTGAACGCCAGAAAATCTCAATTGGCTCTAGAAACAGGAGGTAGAGATTGAATTTTTGGGCAAAACTGGGAGTAGGCAGCTTGAATTGGAAACCTCATTTTCAGATATTTATCCAGCTGCACTGACCCTGATATGGTCTTACCATGAAAAGGTGTTTATAGTACCATATAGCCACAATGTGTACTCAAGTGTGCTTTGTTTCCCTTCCTGGAAACGGTCAGAGGAGGATGGAAAACTAAGGTGTGGAGCCAAAGGGACCTAGTGCAACTGCTCCTTCGGATTGGAAGGGAGTGAGTGGAGCTTGCTGGCTGTGCATTGGGTGGGTAGGGGACAGTGGCTATCACCCAGCAGGTCTGCCTGGGAGCAGCTTCTCCCAGGAATGAATTAGTATGCTGTAGTTGCTTTGGCCCTGGACCTTTGATGCCTCAAAAAGGAGTGCACTTCTGTTTTGGCAACATGCTTGGCCCAGCTATGTACATCATTTAAGGCTTGTTTTCTGTTTACAACCTGCTGGACAGAGTGACTGACTCTCAAATCCCTATCTAGTTGTAGCAGAGTTGGTCCGTGCCTCCTGCCCTCCCTGGCCAGCAGCAGAGATAGGCCACAGTGCTGCACTGTGGCTAGGGCTGTGCTGCCTGCTGGGGCCTTGTGCTTGAAGGAGTCCTGCAGCTCCTTCTCAGCTCCTTCCTCAGCACCTGGTCCTCTCTTCTGGGCACCCACATTCCAGAGTTGCTAAAGGTATCTTGCAATGTGTCCTTCTCAAGTTGTGAACCACAGTTTGTCATGGAGCCATGTACTTAGATGCAGCACAGCTGCTGGCACTCTGCCTCTGCTGAAAAAAAGCCATCCCTATTCTTAAATTTCTAGCTTCCACTGGGCAGAATATTCATACCCTTTTCAGTCAGGCTGCTTCTGATTTCATCCTTATTCCTGTTAGCAGGCTCTCTCTTCAGGATCCCTGTGGCCCATCTCAATGTGATGAATTAGTTTCTGGCACACAACCAAGTTCTATTTAATCCAGACCAGACTTGCAGACTTTTTATTTCCAGAATTGAAATAAAACAACCTCAGAATTCAGAGCAGCCATGCTAAATAGTATCTACTCAAACTGCTGATCTCAAACCATCTGGGTTCTCACATACTGAACAGAGGGAAAACTGACTGACTGGGTGCTATATGCCTTCCTCCTCGCTGCTCTGAAATGAAACACCATGGAGAAGCAGTTGATTATTTTACAGTGGCAGAACTGAGAAGAATCTTATTTTTTGTTTATCTTCAGTTAACTGGTGCATGCAGTGGCTTCTATTTCCTCCGAAGTACAGAGTTGAATCTTATATTAAACTGTGTTTCTCCAGGGTTTTTGGAGCAACAACTGTCAGGTTGGACAGTCTGCAAGTGCAGAGTGCTTGATCTTACTTTGAACCAGGCATAGTTTTGCAGGTAAACAGTTACCAGCTCCTGAAAACATAATGATAAATATTCATGAAATTGATTTTGTTAGAAAGTAGAATCAGTCTTTCTCCACAGTTGATACTTCCAATAAAGAGGAAGCCAAATTAATCTCGGAAACATTATACACCATTTAAATGTAAAGGCAGCGTGGAAAGAGATCATAAAAACAGTTTGAGTGATGCTGGCTGTGGTCCTGCAGTGTCACCTCTCATATACAATTTCAATACAGCTTGTTAATTATGCTGTAGTATACAGTGTCCTCTATGGTATGTTGCTCTTTGAAACAGCAACATGTTGCCAGCTAATAAAGCCTGGTAGGCGTAAAGATTAGCAAATGGTGAATATACTTGGAAGTCTTTGCATGAGCAGAGGAGTGAGATAGCAATTATGAGAAGCAATTTGAGTCGTGTGGTATGTGCAGATGAGAGAGATGAAAAATTTCTGTGACTCTTAGTGTTAGGTAGTGCTGTGCCGTGATTGGCAGTAGTAGAATCAAAGCTGTGTTTGAGTTTCAGGTGTAGTTCTTTGCAGTGCAGAAGAGATACTAGGTATTTTTACTTTTGTTATTACTTTTATAAAAAAAGTATAGCTGTTGTACACAGCTGTGAACAAAAGCTGGTTTTGAAAGACATCTCTGAATAGGCCCTGGAAGCTTTTGGTTTTGGCATCATCTTGTAGCAATTTAGACTGGGCTGGTGCTTCTGAGATGGATTCCCCCCAATCTGTAGTCAGGCCAATCTGTGGTGGTGAAGACAACAGTGGCAGAGAGTACATGTTCCACCCTGCTGCCAGAAGTGATTTACCCTAGCAAAGGGAAGCCTGTGTCCATGCGTGACCCTTGTTGCTCAGACTCTGCTGTCCTTGCTTAAAGTGTGGGTGGATTTGCACTGAGGTGACAGCATGGGCACAGGTAACATGGAAGCATGATTTTTCTTCTGCCAGCTCTGCCTCTAAAGAGTCAGACTTCATAAAGGCAGGGTAGAGCCTAGAAGCCTTGCTAGCTGTCATCTGTCAGTGGCTAAAAGTAGTACTTTAAAATCAGTTTAAAATAGGTCTTTACTGTGCAAATCATTTTTAAAGCATCCTTGCCACCAGGCATCTCCCTCTGGAATGTGACTTTACTGTGTTATGTGCAGCTGGTTGCAGGATGTGTAGGATGTGGCAAAACCCATGTTGAAACACAGCTCGCAGTGCTGTATTCAGAATGAGTAATGGCTTGGGAAGAGCAACCATCAGTTTAATCTGGTTCCCTGCTCTGATGCAGATTTTGTTTGTGCAGAGAACAGCAGGTGTCTGGGGTGCTTTTTTCTTTTTCTGAAAAAATTCAAGATGACCTTTGCAAAATAAACAGAAACATGTGAAGTGGATGCATGCTCATCAATGAAATCTGAAATAATTTTATGCATAAGCCACATGTGAAATTATTTTCTGCAGGTCTGAAGCTTAAGATTTCTCAAAGAGACCCTACCTCGTAGCTATGTCAGAGCAGGTAGATGCAAATTCAAGGTTAAATTCAATCTTTCCAACCCCCTGGTTTCAGTTTTCGCAATCTCAGCAAAGCCAGTAGAGGAATTCACTCTCAAAGTGGCAGAACATACCTTTATTTATAGACCTTTATTTTTAAAAGCCTAATTCTCCTTTTGTTTCTCTTGGGTTTCTGAATTAGTTTTAGAATAGAAAAGATCTGATTAAGGTTGGAAACCGATTTAATGTTCATCCCAGCAAGAATGAAAAGGGATGATTATATCGTTCAATTTTGAATAGAAGATAAGCTCAACCTGCCTGCAAGAGGTGGGTTAATCTCATACTCTGTATTAATAATAATTCAGACTCCTGAAGTGCTTTTCACACTAACCTTAGACAGCTGTAAAAACAGCATCAGGAGATAAATCCCCTGACATGCTTATACTTTTCCTGTAAAATAACTTCCGGGCTAGGAAATGAGGCTGGTTAATACTGTTCCTGCCACCAGGCAGCCCTACTAGTGTGAGAAGGACCTGCAAGGGCATCAGCATGTGTTAGAGTTGCCTGTGTTGGTTGGTGGTTGATAGCTGGAGGAGTGCGTTCATCTGTGAACTGACTTAGGGCCAGGTGTAGGGAACAGAGCATGTGGGCTGAATCCATGGGTTCTTCACTGTGTCTGATTGATTTGCTATGGACAGGACTGTGGGAAGGCTGTTGAACATACACACTGTAGCTGCTGGTGCAAAGCCAGCTGCTCTAGAACCATATACTGTCTTCCTCTGAGCCTCTGAAGAGCTAAGCTGGATGCCAGTGATCCTGATGCTCTGGGGCATGGCAAGCTGCCCTTCCCCTGAGGAGGTTGCTTGGCCGCAGTCTTTGGTTTATCACTGGTGTACACAGTGAGCAGTGATTTTTGCAGGCAGCACTGGATGAGGCACCATACAAATCAGGAGTAGGAGTAGCTCTTGATCTGAGCTCACCTGCCTGCAGCTCTGCGCTCTCTACCTGCTGCAATGTCCTTTGTAGAGAGAACAGGCCTTGGTGGTGTCATCCTGGTGTTTTGCTGATTAGAGATATCAATTCAACTCAGACACCAGACTGAAAAGAGCAGGCGTAGTTTACTCAAAATAACTAAATAATATAACAATAATACAGAAAACATACAGTAAGAAGAGACAGAATAGTGCACTTAAAGCAAACAGGAAAATACAGGGTAATGCCTCAAATCATTACTACCAGAGAGAGAGACAAGAGTGATTAGGAAAGATCCATCACCACTTGCACACGTTCCCATCACCCAGACCCGCAGATGCTGGGCAGCCCCGGTTACAGCGAGGGTTTGGAGAGCCCGTCCCGGCAAGGGGGAAATCCTATGCGGTGCGTCCACCTGTAGGTGAGGCGTCCAAAGTCACTGTGAGCGGGTGCAGCCTTATACACCCCCAAATCAGCAAGGCAGAATAGCTGGCACCTTTGTTTTGAGCGGGAATATCTGGTTTCAATCATATATTAGATTCTCTCAGAGCCTGGCCAGGGCTCAAGGGAGAAACTAAGGGAGTTTCCCGGCTTATCTAACTGGATTATGTGCAAGGTCTCCCATCAGGCCACAGTGCCAGACTGTGGTCTCCATGACCCTGTTATTTTATCCACACACAAAGAAAGATAAATATACATTCAAGAGAGCTTCATCTTCCATACATATTTCACCAATGATAACGTACTGAGTTAGCAACTTTGGTTCAGGGCCTGTTGCTCAGGCTTCAATACTTCCACCTTTGACATCAGAATAGGTGGTTTGTAATAACTTAGTAAAATACCTATTAGCACAATGGTTATCAGTTACAAAATA